TTCAACGGATGCACTGATCTGATAATATCACGTATACATCACATACGTGCAATGTTTCTAATGTTTGATACAAGAAGAGTTATTCAATGCTTCATCTCAATGACGTGATGGTAAACGAAATCTCGGTGAAGTGAGAACAAAACCTCGGTTATTCACTCTATGAAATAAATAGTTATAATGATAAACGTTCCGAAAAGCATTAGTAGATGTCTTTAAAATATAATTGATCACTTGAATTTTGCAACACGCTAGAAACTGATTCTTTACGACGCTGTGTTTTCGTATCTGATATTCGTATATTGCTGATTCTGTTTTTTTCTCACGAATTGGTATATCCCTCGGCAGGTATGGTAAATTTTGCAATTGACTTTTCTGCCAATCAATAATTCCAAATTCTTCATGTATAGTCATATTACTTTTTAATAGTTATCATGAGTTTGTGTTGAAGTATGATTGACTGGGTTTTGGTTAAACCTTCGAATAAAAAATTAGTGTTATATACCGCGATATTCATGAAATAGTCGCGAATTAAAATAGCATTGAAATCTCCTGTAGCAGTTGTTCACTTCACAACTAAGCAGCTGTTACTGTGTCATATTCAGTCTAACAGTGTACAGTCAAAACAAGCATATTTAACAATGCTGAGTGATAAAAAAATAGATTTAGTTCAACAATTACACAGGAAGTGAGGGTGTCGGCGCGCGTCATGTGAACCAGCATGTTGTGCTTGTTTTCGGGCATTGTAAACACTGAATCGACTTGACATCGGCTGTGTCAACACAGACCGATAATCCCGACCATTTATTCCTCTTGTAACAGGATGATGTTACAGAGAGCGAATAGTATCGTGTAATGACCATCATTAGACATTCCATAGGCATAAGTTAACGTTTATTTCAATATTATTAATTCAACAGTATTATTAGTTATATGACAGTAGCCCAGTTGTTCACAAGTAATGACATGTTCGTGTGATCATTACTAGTGAGTGTTCGTACGTCAGCTGAGAAAATGATCCACAGTGCTGTCTCGAGCGATATCAAAGATGGCGGCTCTCTAATTTAAATATCACAAACACCGTTTGACGGTTTTTGCCAAAGAGACCTAAACAAATCTAAATATTCAAATATGACCTAAATCTCACTAATTTCGAGAAAGTTGAAACACTTTGTACGAATTTATCAAAATTAATCATCATGGCAACATTTAATTCTAACTTTGAAGTTAGTGTATTCCCCCTCCTTCCAAAATGTATGTATTTGTGACGTGTATTCTGTATCCGTTTTGCCCCTTGATATTGCAACTTAAGCCGCAAGAATGTGTGTCTTTGTACGTACAATCGTTTTCTATATACATGATACATTTGTCACAATACTGTATCTTGTTTTCATTGTTGATAAATGTGATTATTCTGTTGCAGAGATCATCTAAGAAAGGCTCAATGTCACGTGTATTTTATAGTTGTTTGACAGGAACTACTAGCATGTGGCGCTTGATACATATCATGTGCACATACCCTGAGTTATATATATATATCTTTCTCTCACGTGTATTTAGTTTGGTCAAGGAACTACGATTCGTGATCTGTTATGTTATTTCTACATTATACATACCTTTCGTTTTGCCTTTAACTGCTCTCTGTGTCTGTTTGATATCTCCCCAGGAGCCTGGCTGCCCCATAGCTTGATGCCAACGAAGCTATAAGACACGCCTTGAGCAATCAATGGTAGGAAGTACGTGGCCACCATGAAACTGAAGCTGTACCTACATATATACAAAGGGAAATTGTGTTTGACGTTGTAATTCATTTTCTGTCGTATCCACACCGAAGAAAACAATATTCAGTGAAAAAATAATTGTGTCACGATGTCATTCACTTGCATCGCGGTCAATATTAATACGTTTATGTTGTACAACACAAAATTGAAGAATTGGGATCCGTGGGGCATAGCGAAATTTGCAATTCTAGGAATCTTGAATTTAAACAAAATTTCAATTTACATACGTTTCACAGGCCATCATCTGATATTATTTGATTTATAGACTGCTAATACTTAACGATCAACGTAGTATTATAGTATTCGTATTGTACATTTTCATTTTGAGCATACGATCATAGA